CTGGAGCGTTTTTATTCCCTATGTCCTGAGGCGGCGGGCATTTTTGTCTATGGAGAACCCCATGCTCGGGAGTGGCATCACGGATGATGACTGGTGACTTGAATGAACCACTGTCGCCACGCAAAAGAAAAAAAACTTGCGTATGCACATCAAAAAGGCATACAAAAGAATCAAGGAATATATTACTACCTACATGATTTGGCATATAGGGGTCAACCTAAGACCTATGACAACCAATAATGTAGATAGGAATGCAAAAACAAGAAGGGGCGCAACCACACGTGACTGGAGAGTTTTCTTTCCCCATGGCCTGAGGCAGCGGGGCATTTTTTGCTATGGAGAACCCCATGCTCCGGAGAGGCACCACATGGGTTGTCGTTAGTGTGAATAATCCCAAAAGCGAAAGAGCCATGGATGATTATTGGTGACTTGAACCAACCATTGTCGCCACTCAAAAGAAAGAAAAACGGGCTCGCATACCGAAAAGGCATATGAAACAATTTAGAAATATGTTATCACCTGCATGATTTGGCATATAGGGGTTAAACTAAGACCTATGACAACCAATAATGTAAGATAAGAATATTGAAGCAAGAAGGGGGCACAACCACATGTGACTGGAGGGTTTAGTTTCCGCATGGCCAGAGGCAGCGGGGCATTTTTGTCTATTGAGAACTCCATGCTCAGGACAGACACCACATGGGATTGTCGCTAGTGTGAATAAGCCCAAAAGAGAAAGAGCCATGGATGATGATTGGTGACTTGAACAGACCATTGTCGCCACGCAAAAGGAAAACAACATGGCCTCGCACATTGAGAAGGCATATGAGACAATCTAGAAATATATTATTACCTGCATGATTTGGAATATAGGGTTCAACCTAAGACCTATGACAATCAATCCGGACAAAGGGAATAACTGGTCGATCGAATCTTTAAATCCGAACAAAGGGAATAATGCATTTGCAGTTTCCTGTGGGCCCACTCCGCATCCATTACGTGCCGAGACTCGCTGGCGGGAGGGGCACCACCAACCCCCCCATCCTTCTCCAGAGTCGCAAGTCCACCCCCACCGGCATCCACCATCTTCTCGGAACGACGACCACCTCCAAACGAACAGCCACGACCACGGCAAGCCAAGCCACCGCCCTTG